CACATCAGTGTCCCAAGAGGGGGAACACAGGCCATTCAGAAACAGCAAAGGCTTTGGAGTCAACAAAGGCTATCCACCTTCCCAACGCAGAGGAGGAAACCAGCATTCCCATGTGATACGGTGCATGCTGGAGATATAAATAGCTTCTAAAAAGGTTAGCAAAATGCACAGATGACATATCTACAGTAGGTTACTAAGGGAAACCAGGATGCTCAGTGCCAGCATCTCACCTGTTGCAGCTGATGCCTGCAAGGAACCCTGGGGCTCCTCCCAGGCTCTGCTCACCCAGCTGCCAGAACCCAGAACCTGGTGTTGTGAGTGGGCATTTCCTAAACCCTACTAATGTTCCCTGCAGGCCTTCTCCAAAGTAGGAAAACCTTTTTCCTACTCACATCTCTGTCTGGTTCCCATAAGCCCACTTGTTCCCAATTTCCTCATCTGGGAGAAGTCTGCCTTGTAGGGTGTTATGAGGATGCCCTGCCTGGAGGTAGGAGGAGACTGGTGAGTGGCAATCCCATGGCCCTTTCTCCTTCCCCTTTCTCATTGTGCCAGGCCCTTCTGCTGAAATGCAGAAGGTGGGGCATGCCAAGCCTGTCTCCGGTGGAGATTCCCTTCTGTAGGGGAAGTGCCTTGTGGACACGCAGAGGGCGTGCAGGGCAGCCACAGCTGCTGGGTTATGTCAAGTGTAAAACAAATCTCACTTGTCACTGAGAAAGCAACACCAGGGGACACCAGAGTAAAAGATATTTATAGCTCTCATGGACGCATCTCTGAAGTTGTGTGTTGAAGTTAATAGATATAGAAACAATACATCCGAAAGCACATAAATGGACTTCCACACTGAGACAGTGGCTAAATCTGGAACTTTAGGGATCCCAAACTCACCCCTAACACACATCCTCCTCTGAGTGTGGATATTCTGGGACCTGAATAAACTGGGCTCTAGTCCTTCCCTCTCCAGGGTATCAAGTTCTGCCTTCCTGCCAAGGATTAAGAGATCAGCCTGGAGCCTACAGCTAGAGAGCAGCTTGCCAGGCAGCTCCCCACTGGCCTGTCTGGACAGAGAGGGAGAGCTCTTCCCACTTCCCCTCGCTCCAAACAGTGCAGTGGCAGGAGGGAAAATCCCATCTCTCCAGTCCCTCCCTGAGCAGACAGCAGGGTTGCTGCAGAGCCTACACTGAGTCCTGAGGGCCAGGCAAGAAAGGAGAAGCTCCACAGAGGCCCAGGCAGGAAGCCAACCCCTCACTCCCAACATACACACAAGGCCCCTAGTGAGAAGGAAGATGCCTCAGTCAACTTCCACTCCAAAATGCTTGGCAGTCAAAATGTCACAGCTGCTCCTGGACCACCTGTAGGCTTGGCCAACAGAGGGGAGGCCTTCCCTTTGGCAGTGATGCTATGAGTGTGCTGCGACATCCCCAGGCAGGGCACATGATTGGGACAGAAGTCCAATACACTCTCTCTCCTCATTCTCTCTGTCTGCCAATAGCAGCAGAGGTCAAGTGGAAAGCACCCTGCTCTAGAAGGCCAAAGGTCATCTACAACAATCACCCGTTGACTGGTAGATTTCCTAATATGTAAATCAGGCAAATGATCCTATGACTTTGAACTTGACTGAGGTTAAGGCAGGGACCATGAGTGAGCAAGTAGACTAGAGGTTCCAACCTGACGGAGGCACTGTTGCTGTTATTCGAACACAATGAATGCCCACATGCGTGGGTGAACATTTTGGAGAGAAGGCAACTGACCTCTAGTGCCATCAGCTGCCTCATTCCATCTTAACTCTCTGAAAGTAGAACCAATGGAAGCCTACATACCCTGTTTGTTTCTCAAATTCTGCACAGAACTGTAAGCTATTTCTCTTCCATCAACAGGGATGCGGGCTCTGGTTAAGAATGAAAACCATCTGATACAACAGGGCATTTACAGCAGGGAACACTGGGCTTAGAACCATGGATCCCATAATGGGGACTACGCGAATTAGAAAGCACAAAGCTGCTCCATACCTCTGTTGAAAAGGTTCTAGGATCTGGCATTCTAGTGGAATTTTTGTCTAGAAAATTCCACTAGAATGGAATACACTGTTCTCTTCCATTCTGTGAACCTTTCTCTCTACAAAACTGCCCACAGTGGAATACAATAATTTCCTGTGCTATTTTTCACACACCCACTATGCACAAAGGGTCAGCTGCTTTTAAATATGCTAAAGAGTTTAAGTCAACCTATGACTTTGCAATGAAGATTCTAATGATACACATTTTTACTAGATCACAAAGGTAAATAATTTAGCTAGAATCACATGACTAGCTAAGGTAGAAATCTGAGCCCAAGCCTGTTTTGTTCCAAAGCCCATGGACCATTTTCTGTTGCCCACTAGACTTAAGGACTTGCATATATATGTGTATGTGTAATGGATACATATATCTATAAATCCTTAATTTTTATCTATATGTTTATTTATTATTACTACTGCAAGATGAATCTGATATTGATTCCTAGAAGCCTGGGGTCTTAATGACCAAGTACAATGTAGAAATGCCCTACATAACACATATGAACAGAGCTGAGACATTTCTACCCATGCTGACATCAGCCATGGTAGATCCCCATTTTTAATTCATTCCTTTGCACTCCCCAGGCGCAAAAGTACCGGAACATAGTACCAGGTACACAGCAGGCACTTGCCATTTGGTCTCATCATTGCTAAGTTGCTTATTAGTAATAAATCCTCAAATGCTTAGAGATGAAATAGCACTAACTTTGATGCAAGAACAAAAGTCTAGACACTGTGAGAAACACCAAGGGGGCCTAACAGACATCTTGGCCAACAGAGTAGGTGTCTCACCACTGGGTGAAAACAGTAGTATTTGAGTTTCACTAATATGTTTATCCTGCTTGGTCTATATCTTATGATCCTCCACTGGAAAGAGTAATTATGGCCATATATGGAAAGCCCTGGTTTTGTAAGTGGGGTCAATTTCAAGTGACTCTCTTGATCTAAGTTCTTTCCTCTGTAGAGGTGCCATTAGACACCTACTCAGAGAATGGCTGTGAAGATTACAGGTACCACATCTATGGACATGCAAACAATCCAATCAGCCCCACCGCATCTCAGCGTCCCCATGGTGTCCTGTGTGTATAACCACTTCAAATTGGAGCAGATTGAGACCCTCATCCCAATCCTAGTAACACCCCTCAGTAGCTGTGTGACCTTAGGCAACCAGCCTAACTTCTCTGAGCCTGTTTCCTCACCATAAAAATGAAATACCACCTATCTCATGGGGTTGCTTTATAGACAAAATAAGATAATATTTGCACGTGGCCTGATATGTATGAAAAAACTCAGTAAATACTAGTAGGGTTTAAATGTGCTCAGAACAGCTCTGACTACACACATCCTGTTGAACAGAGAGTACGGTCAAAAGTTATGGTGACAAGTAAAGGAGATAAAAGAAAGGAAGGTAGTGAGAAGTTCAAATTAGAGGCACTTTTTAAAAACCTTCCTCTTTCCATCCAATAAGGTCTGCCTCTTGTTTATCAACAATATGACTTAAAGTCAGTCTTAGTTGATTGAGCAAGCTCTGCTTCTTGCCTGCCACATCCTCTGATGAAGGAAGAAGGAATAACAACTACAGGGCAGGCAACGAAAGGGGGCCCGGGAGAGCTGAGAACAGGTCGTACTGACTGGGGCCATCGTGGTCAAAGTAGGTGGCCTCAGGCACCTTAAATGCCAGCCGTTCTCTATCTTCAGACGTTCCTCTAACAGTTTAGAAATCAGAGGTCACATCAAGGTACTCCCCTCAACAAGGCATGTTTCAGAATCCAACCCAAACTCTAATCACAATTCTGAAATCCAAATCTAGACAAGCTTTAAAGAACAGCACTCCCTTTATTGAGCACCTAGTGTATGCCAGGTTCAATGCTAAACATTTGGCATGCAATATCTGCACAACGGGATCATCTTATGTTTTTAAACCCCATGTTGCAGATAAGGAAATTCTACTGCTGGACTTCCCCCAAAGATATTCTCTAAGGCTTTCAGCTGCTCTTATGTTCTCAAGGACTTGAGTCTGTATGGCATGTGGAAACTCCTGCCAGAGTCTTCAACTCTAATAATAGTGCTGAATTCTACAAAATTAATCACACACAATCATCTTAGCCCCAGAGCAAAAGTGGGTTTGGGAAGAAGCTGAAGCTGGGACAGAGAGACAGAGAGAAGACGTTAGTCCTTCAGAAGCACAGCCTGGCCACCTCTGATTTGCAAACTCTGTCCAGAGGCTGCAGGGTGAAGTGTTTATTTTCTTTCTGCACAATTAATCCCTCCCAAAGAAAATCCAGACAAAGTCACCTGGCCCTTCTGAAGGGAGGCTGGGGGGGATCCCCTCCTCCTCCAAGATTCACACTGAACTCCTAACCCTTCCTCCCCACCCCAGGGAGTGGCTGGATGGTTGTTGTTTCTTTTCTTTTCTTCCCTGTGGTCCTTTGGTAACACCACAAATTACGCTTTCAGGGACTGGAGTCCCAGAGTGCAATGATGTTGTAATAAACATAACCAGGACCAAATGCCTTCCCATCATATTAGATGATGCCATTTCCCACCAATCAGGCTCCTTGGGCAGGCAGACCACTCACCAATGAGGGACCAGACAGAGGCTGTGGGGGGAGACCTGGTCATCTGCAACTAAAAATAAGGGCGCTTCATGATTGGTTGCTGCCACTTTGCAACAGGAGTTGGGACCCACACACCAGGCGCCACACTGAACGACCCACACAGGCAAAAACTTTCACAGCCCAGGGGTTCACACGGGTGGGCTGATCTGGGTCTGTTTGTTTTGTTTTCCTAATTTGCTGACTTGATACAAGAAATAAAGACCTAATCCAAAGGGAGCCTCTCGCAGACACACCCTCCCACCTAGACACCTCGGTTTCCAAAGGCCCTTCGCAGCCACAAAGAACTGGGGAATAGGAGGGGGGCGTTGGCCAGAAGCCAAGACACTCACCTGTCCGGCCGTGTCGTAGAGTCCGAGGAGGTACTGCTTGCCCCCCACGGTGACGCTGACTGCAAGGACAGAAGTGGGGGTGGGGAAAGAAGCTCACAATAACCTGGGCTCCGGGGTAATTTCGCTCCCCACCCGGACCCTCCTCTCCCAACCCAGCTAGGGAAGCAGGGGTGCTCCACGCGAGATGTCACCCCCTTTTCCGTTGAGCCCCGCTCACTGTGAAGCGGTAAGGAGCCGGGGTGTAATGTGGTCCCCAGCTGTCCGCCCCCTTCTCCCAAGTCCAGTAGCCACGTCTCGCCCGGTCCTCTCGAATGTTTCCCCGGGGCCTTGGGGCAGTAGGAAAGGGGCTGTGGGAAGGTCAAGGAGGTCGGCCCGGGGCGCCAAGGGGTGGGAAGTGCGCGGAGCAGGGGCCGTGTGGGGGGCGAGTGGGAGAGGGGGTGGATCCGTGGGAGAGGGGGTGCCAGGAGCGAAGCCTGGGGGGTGGGGCCGGCCGCCTGGCAGAGGGCGCGGCGGGGGAGGGGAGAGGAGCGCGCTCGGGGGAGGCGGCAAGGGGGCTCCGCCAAAGTTGCTCCAAAGTTCCCGGCCCGGGGAGCAGCCCCTTAGTCAGCAGTTCCGCGGCTTACCTGCGTAGTGGTCGAAGACGGTGGGCACGTACTCCTCCGGGAAGGCGTCGTTGGCATAGCTCATGAGTAGGCACGTCTTGCCCACCGCCCCGTCGCCGACCACCACGCACTTGAGCATCAGCGCGCCGGGCCCGTGAGCCATGCTGCGGCCGGCCGGCCTCCGGGCATGGTACCCCCGGAGCCCCCGCCCCGGCCCCGGCCTCAGCCCCAGCCCGCCTGGGGGGTCCGCCGCCGTCGCCGCCGCTCCGCGCCGCAGGGCCGCCCCCCCGGCCCCATGCAGCGGCTGCTCCCCTCGCCGGAGGGGAGGGGGCGGCGGGCCCGGGGCGCTGCCGCCGCCGCCGCGGTCCCCGCCCGGATCCCCGCCCCGGCCCCGGTCGCCGCGCCCGCCCGCTGCCCCCGCCACTCGGCGCCCGCGCCCTCTCCCCGGCCCGGCCTCCCCAGGAGGATCCGCCGGATCATAAGACCGGCCGGCCCCGGGGGAGACGGCAACTTTGGGGAGGGCGGCGGAGGGGAGGGGCCAGGCGGTTCTCCCCGCCCCGCGCCGGCCCGAGCCCCTCCCGCGGCGCCCCGGAGGAGGGCGGGCCCAGGCGCCTCCCCTAGCGTGGCCCCCGCCCCGCGCCCCCGCCAGCCGCCGCGCAGCCCCGCCGGCGCACCCAAGCCTCACTCCCCGCGAGGGCCGCGCGGAGGGGCGCGCAGGAGGAGGAGGAGTCGAGGACCGCGGAGGGAAGGAGAAGAGGAGAAGAGGCGGGGAGGAAGAGAGGAGGGGAAGAGGGAACCGCGCTGGGGGAGCCGAGGGCTCCTCGCGCAAGTACCCGCAGCGCCCAGAAGCGTCCAAAGGCCCCGATGCTGGGAGAAGACGTGGAGGCCTCTCGGGGAACCACGACGACTTCCACGATGACGCAATAGTCATGCCAAATTATACATCTGTATTTCACCTTCACCCAGAAGGCCAGAGCCATCGTCTTGGCTTCTAAGTGCACAATGGAACTAGAAATCAGGAAGAAAGAGAGACCACAAGGATTAAAAAAAAAAAAAAAAAAAAATTAAGGCGCGCAGGGTGGTGGGGGTCCCTGAACTATAAAGCAGGGACCCTGGCTTATTGCGTGGATTCCCCCCCCCCGCCACCAGCCCACGCCTTCTTTAGCACGAGCTTGAATCATTTACTATGAAACCGGTGACTAAGGGAGATACAGCGTGTTCAACCACTGAAGCACGCCCCCCAACGCACGCACACACACACACACACACACACACACACACACATACCAGCCAGAAAAGGGATACGTAGTTGGGTCTGGACCCGGCAAATGTACCTGGGCTCCACCTGGAGGCAACATTCTCCGAGGTCCCCTTTCGGTCCCCAGTGTCCCTCGAAGGTATTCCGTTGTAATCCCGGGGAATTGATACAACCTTCTGCTCTGAAACTTGGCCTGTGCTCGAAGCGGCAACTCCTGCCTTCTGCGTGGCAAGGCTTGAACACACCAGTCTGGCCAGATCCCGTTCACTGGCCAAGAGTGCAGCATTGAACATGGGGCACTGGGGCGGGGAACACTTCGCGCTAACACCGCACCCCACCCCTCTGCTTGCTGACTAGAGATGAATCGCTTCCTTTCATCGATTCACAGCGTTAGAAAAACGCAGCGTTGAGAGGCAAAGCCGAGGTCAACTGGACCATCACCCTTAGGTCGTAGGGAAGAAAACTGAGACCTAGAAAGGAGAAGCGGTTGTCCCAAAGGCTTCCAGCTGTTCCCAGTACTCAAGGACTTGGAGAACACCTGGGGAAATGTTCACTGTTGTATTCCCATTCTTCACTTTCCAGGAGGCCTGACCTCTCAAACTCCGAATCTGATTTCTGTTCTCCCAGGAAGACTTCGCAAATCCCTGAAAGTTCCTTGCAGATTCTCACTGAGCATCTCCCGGGCCCCACCCTTTGGCCGGGTGTGTCAGCAAGAAGGTATGCACATTGCTAGCTGCTTTAGATGCAATGAATCTGGAAGATAGGTTGTATGTACTAAATAACAGGTTGAAGAAATTGCCTTAAGGTCAATTTCTGGTTCGAGACTGGTCTCTGCCACTTCCTCGTAGAGGGAAAGAGAGCAGGACCTGTCCCATTCTTCGCTTGCAGGACCATTTGTTCAGGCAGCATTTACAGGGACTCGTATTCTGAAAGGAGGGTCTACCACAGAAGCTTGAGGAGGAGAGCACTCAGCCAGGAGAGCTGAGTTTAGTCCCAGCTCTGACCTTGGTTAGCAGTGTTACCTTGAACATGTCACTTCCCTTCTCTGGGCCTCCGTTTTCTCATCTATAAGTGAGAACTAAGAGTAGGAGAAGCTCTGGGAATGTCATAGCACTCCAAGTGGGGAACTGATGTCCGATGAATCATGCAGTGGTGACTTCATTGGTGACAGTGACCTCATTCTCTTGGCCCATAGAGATGCCAAAACTGACTGCCAGGAATACTTAGAGCTCTGGGGCTGATCCCTCTTGGTGTGTATGTGGGGTGGGGAGGGGGGCTATCCAGAATGCCCCTCTGTTAGACCATGAATGCCTTAGCTGAAAGCACCAATCAGACCTCAGCAGAAATCTCAATTTCCCATTGGCAAGGATGGGAATAATGTCCAAGTGGTTTAAAAAAAAAAAATTAAAGAAAAAGCTCTCAAATTTCAGGGATTGGAGACAGAAAGGACTTTGTTTCTGAGTGTCCGATAGGCTGTCTGCTTGCAGCTCTCCTTTTGTTTGTGCAAAATGTTGAAACAGACACAGGTCTGTGTGAGAACAGTGAAATTTTTTTCTTTCTTTTTCTTTTTTTTGAGACAGGGTCTGGCTCTGTCACTCAGGTTGTAGTGCAATGGTGTGATCTCAGCTCACTGCAACCTCCACCTCCCTGGTTCAAGCGATTCTCCAGCCTCAGCCTCCGAGTAGCTGGGATTACAGGAATGTGCCACCATGCCTGGCTAATTTTTGTATTTTTTTGTTGAGCAGGGTTTCACCATGTTGCCCAGGCTAGTCTCGAACTTCTAAGCTCAAAGTGATCTGCCTGCCTCGGCCTCCCAAAATGCTGGGTTTACAGGTACAGGTGTGAGCCACTGCGCCTGACCAAGAACTATGAAATTTCTAATTAACCTTTTCTTACTCTTTTTCCTCTACTTCCTCCTTCCTCCCCTACTTGATTCATTCCATATTTCAATTAAAAGCATTTATTGAGGTCTATTAGATGCCAGAATTTATTCCTGGGCAGGGGACAAAGAAAACCACAGTCACTTCTAGCTGAAGCATTCAAGGAACTTATTAGCAAACAGGTAAGCACTCTATAGTGTGAGCAATGCCATGCTAGAGAATAGAGAATAGGCTTCTGGAGATGTAGAGGAGGCAGTTAGTACATAGCTCTGGCTGTGCTGAGGAAGCATTTGCAGAAGCAGTGTCATTGGCCTGGAGCTTAAGAGTCTAACAGGAGTAAGGTAAGAATGCCTGGGAAAGGCCAAGAGCCCCGCATCAAAGCAAGAAGGAACAGCACACAACTTCCTGGGAATGGTGAGGCATGTAAGGTGGACAGAGTGCATGATTAGTGGTGCTGGGGAACTGATTTGTATTTAATTGGGAACCATATAATGCAGGCAGTCCGTGGGCTTCTGAAAGCCATATAAAGAAGAATGCAGGGTCTGGCATGGGCTGGGCAGTCTGCACTGTACAAAGGCCAAAGGCTAGGGCCAACGGGGCCACTAGGAAGAAATCTGGCCCTCACGCTTACTACAAAGGCATGGCCCCAGCTCAAGGCTGTGTTCATTGCAAGAAGAGGCACTCTTTTCTTATCACAAATGCGACTTCTGTTTGTCAAACCCTGTGCCCATTGGGGTGTATCCACTCAGAGGGGAAGCTTTTTCTATGAAGCAAAACATGAAGGCAAGCAGTGGCACTGGAAGCGAGGATGTACTAAAGGGAATAAACACGAATTTGCAGAACCTCTGCCCTATACTGTATCCAGTGATGGTCCCGGGTATTTGATGCTCATTGATACAGGACATCTTATTTCATCCCCCAAATAACCATGTAAACTTTATAGAGAGTAACTATTGGTTTGTCTATCCAGAACAGCACCATTTGCTTCTGCTAAATATTTTTATAATGTAATCTCTGTAATAGTGTGGTTTAAATGTAAGCTTCCATCTTCTTATACATCCTGCCCCTAGGAGCTGTTGATTAGCCCTAGGTGGACACCTCATTCAAGATGGGACAATCAGAACTCTTTCCTGCTGAGCTTTTTTTTTTTTTACTTCTTCTGAGGCAGAGTCTCACTCTCTTACCCAGGCTGGAATGCAGAGGTGCAATCTCGGCTCACTTCACCTCAACCTCCCAGGCTCAAGCGATCCTCTCATCTCAGCCTCCCAAGAAGCAGGGATTATAGGTAGGAGCCACCAAGCCTTGCCTGAGAATTTGGAATTTGGGATTCACAGCAGGAGTTTCTCCTCTTTTGCTAACTGAACTGGGAAATGTAAGCCTGGAAGCTGTAGGCCGTTCATGTTTCAGCCATTCACAAAATAGCCAATCCAAGGAAATGTTGCTGAAGTGCAGAGAGAAGCAAAGAGGAAGAGAGAACACCACTACCACTACCACCACTACTCCCCTGTCGAAAAGGCTTATGCCTGTAATCCCAGCACTTTGGGAGGCTGAGGCAGGTGAATCACAAGGTTAGGAGTTTGAGACCAGCCTGGCCAATATGGTGAAACCCCATCTCTACTAAAAACAGAAAAATTACCTGGGAATGGTGGCATATGCCTGTAGTCCCAGCCACTTGGGAGGCTGAGGCAGGAGAATTGCTTGAACCTAGGAGGCGGAGGTTGCAGTGAGCTGAGATCACACCACTCTACTCCAGCCTGGGTGACAGAGACTCAGTCTCAAAAAAAAAAAAAAAAAAGCAGAGAGAAAAGGGCCATCTTTGAGTTACTGATATGCCTAATCCCTGTGATCCCGTTGCACAACTGTTCTCCCCGTTGGTCAGTCAAGTTAATAAATCTTCCAGATTTTTGCCCAATGAGTAGGGGTTAGTTTCCTATAACTGGTAACCAAAGGAATCCTATTACAATAATATCACTGTAGTTCAGATAGGTGATGAAATTAAGCTGGCCCCAAATCACATGGCTAGTAAGTGGCAGAGTTAGGATTCAATATCATCTGCCTTCAAAGCTCATGCATTTGCCATGTTTCACTTTAACAAGTTATCAAAAGTTTTTGAGAAGAAAAATGACAAGCTTGGACCTATTTTTGAGAAGGTCACTCTGGGACTCATAGAAAATGGATTTGGAAAGGATAAGGGTGAAGGCAGAAAGAGCCAGGAGGAGACAGATCACAACAGTCTGACCCAAGCATGGCAGTGAACGTGAAGAGGAGGCAGTGGGTTTCAGAGAGATTTGGATGATGGCATCCATGGGGCTTGCAGTAGTGTGGGGATGACAGAGGAGGCGAGAGAGGACAAGGTTTTTACAATAATTCGGAGACATCTACATTCTGATTTCGTGTGCCTTCTCTTTTTTTTCCTTTTTAATGTCCTCTGTTGTTGTCTTCCCACTTCTTCTTTGGACTTCTTTCTTGCTTTTTAAGCCTTTCCATCTCCGATTGTTTCCTAACCACACAACTGACTGTCTAAATCAAGCTTAGATTAGAACTCCAGAGGACAGTATGTTCTAAAACACATTCATTTGCATCATTTTGTGTGCTCCCTCATGTCTGCTTAGGAAACAGAAAAATGGACTCCAAGGGATCATTTGGTGTTGTGGCTAGGATGCTTTAGGTTGCAAGTCATAGAAAAGTCAACCCAAACCAGCTTCAGCAACGAGGGAAGTGTATGGACTTCTGTTATGGAAAAGTCCAGAAGTAGCCCAAGCTTCAGGCATGAATTGATCAGAACTCTTTTTT